TATTAATTTCATTCATAATAATATAGTTTTTAATAACTAAAACTTATTTTTATATTTTTGTGGGATTGCATTGTCCACATAATGGTTTTTTGCAAAATATCACAGATTATATTATACTATAGTACTATACTATTATATAATACACATAACACAGTATCGCTCGTTGTATTGAGGCTGTGGTAAAAAACTTCTACATATTGCTGAGTCCTAAAACTAGCTGGAAAACAAAATCTCTTCTAGACACTTTGTTTTTCACTTCTTGATATAAAATTCATGTATTTATTTACAAGGTCTAATATGCTATAAAAAAAACTTGTACCGGCCATCTTCACGATGCTGTTTTGACGCTGTATTTTCTGGCCATTTGGTTAACAATATCAACACCATATTTAGTAGAGTTATAAAATGGAACGGTCACAAGTTTTTTCTCCACTAGAATATTAGTATGCAGTGTACTGAATAATATATTTTTTAATTTTTTAGCGTGATAAATGGTCAACGACCAACATTGGTCATCGTCTGTCTTCAAAACAATTGTGATGGAATTATCTCTTCATCTGAATCGCATTTTCTTTCCACATCTTTTCCTTTATCGAAAACTGATCCTCAAGCGATGATTCTAACGATAATAATATTTGATTATCACTCAGCCTACATATTGTAAAATAACTAACTAACACTGTTTGCTCATATAAAGTAACAGTTTGACTTTCTATACAGCTAGTTTCACATGTGACAACCACAATAAAATAATAATGTAACTATTATGACCTACCTGCAAATGGATACTGCTTATCTTAATAAATGCCGCTTGGGTCAAACGACCTTGATCCGTCTTTGTAAGTAAATATTATGTTAATTTAATTCAGGATCATAAAGTAGCAATAACATCAATAGCACATTGAAATATAAACTATTTCTTTAAAAGTTACGGGAGAGCGTAGTACCAAAACTAAGAGTTTCATAATTATCAAACGATAAACTTTAAAATGGACCAAAGACCGTTGTCCGTCTTTCAGTGTTGAAGAGACAAATTTGAAATTTGTGAAGAGAAAATGAATCAACAAATTTCTCAATGATAAGATTCTCGGTATAATATTGTTATAATATTTACTGTATATAAAAAAACAAGCGTTAACTTATGTACATTAATTGTTTTTTAAATATAATTTTGTTAATTTTTTTCCTCATTATTTCACAAAAACTAGTTTAAAACGATTCCTTATCAGTATTTACTTAACTTTTTCGTAGGTCTTAAGTAGATATATTCTATTTATTCATATTATATGAGTGTGAAATTCATCGAGTAAATTTCGCATGAACACTTAGCACTTGTCATTTTTGATGACGTTTATAATCATTATAAAGATAATAATTTATCCTTAAAATATGAGACGTTAGTTAAATTTATTATATAATATATTATAAATAACATAATATATTAAACATAATATGTTTATTTCACTTGCCATCTCAATAAATAACACTATAACGACTTTCGTATTGCGACATTGAAAAAAATCCCCAAGTTAATAAACAATGAAGCTGAAATGAGTAAGACAATTGCAAAAATTCGTGCCACGTGCATCACAAGCGGATGTATATTACATAATAATATATTATGAATAATGTGTGTTACTCAAAATATTTATTTACAAACAATTCAAAATGGAGACGCTGCAGAATAAGAAACGGCAATCAACACAAGGGTGATATTTTGATACGGTTCAAAGAGTATGGAATTTTATAATAATTTAGACTTTATTTAAATTAATTTGTTTATTTCAATGTAACCTTCTTACCTACTTGTTATTGCTATTTGACTGTTTTATTGAATGTAGTTTTCACTAAGTATAATATATACATATATATATTTATGTATAGGGTATACTAGAAGACCCGGCGAACTTCGTATCGCCCTATAATCAAGAAATATCTGTTACGTTTTTTTATTTATATTTTTGGAGTTTACCTATTAAAGCTATAAATCTCCGTGTTTTGAAGTGCGATAGAATGATTGACATATTAGTTACTTGTCAAATCTAATGTAAAAAATAACGTTTGTATCAACAACTACTAATAAATTAAAAATTAATTAAAAAAACATTGTCCAGCGGACAAAATTGTGAATCTAAACCATTCCCAGATTTCCTTGAACACACAAAAAAAAATTTAATCAAAATCGGTCCGGCGTTTGAGAGAAGTTCAGTGACATACACACTCACATAAGAATTATATATATAAAGATATATTTGTAATTTTACACAAAATCAATTCTTACATTGCATGATATTATGTTTTTACACTCTAAAACCTTTTCTTTTGTGAAAAAGTAAATTCGTGCGTTTATAAAAATCTAAAAAAACTCATGACTCTTCATTGCTTCCCTAGATAGACGATGCAAAGTAGCTGCAAGAAAAATAGACAGTAAGGCCTTTACAAACTGTACTACGAATAATTAGCCTTCCAAAAGACTTAAGTATGTTGTTTGAGTGCAAAACTTCTCGAATAATGAGGTCTAAGATTTTCGCGAGTATTCATTTAATTATAATCTCTCATCACGTTTGCCAGTAGGAGTAGAAAACCGAAAATATTAGTTTCATTTAAGTCGAATCTTGATGAGAATAAGTAAAAAATATTTTTTTTTACAAGTCAAAGATCGTTCGGAAATATGTTTATTTTTATCTTAACTTCACCTTCGAACGTTACAAAGAATAATATAACAATAAATTATATAAATACTGTAACAAAACGTGTCACATATGTATGTATTGTATATTAAAGAAACATAACTATTCTTAATACACAGATAGTTGTCAATTATTGTCGTCATTCAATATAATAGAAATAACAAATACGGAAGCCATTTATATTAATTACGGTGCATATTTCTTTTTCCTCGTAAACAGACTATGTTTCATTTTATAACTAGCTGACCCGGCAGACTTCATACTGCATCAATCTATAAATAAATAATTTTTTATATATTTTTTTGGAGTTGACCTATAAGCCATAAATCTCCGTGTTCTGAAGTGCGACAGAATGATTGACATATAAGTTAGTTATCAAATCTAATGTAAAAAAACGTTTGTATGGGAAATAGAAAAGCGCTGTTTTTAGGGTTTTCCCGGAAATGATTCAATTCTTTTCAGCTTTTAAACCTGACCCGAACGTCCACAAACATTTCAAGACTAAGATAAGATAAATCCATTCAGCCGTTCTCGAGTTTTTGTGAGACTAACGAACAGCAATTCATTTATATATATATATATATATATATATATATATATATATATATATATATATATATATATATAGCTATAATTAAAAAAACAACACAACACCATTGTTAATCTGCCCACTCATTGCGTCTTTTTATCCTGTCAAATGAATTTACGATCAACTTTGATAAATATATTTTTATTTTTTTCTATTAAATGTTTAATTTTCGTGATAATTGCAACGAATTAATGTTTTTTTTAGGATTAAATATTAGAATATATATTTATTCAGCGGCATTTAGGTAAATTAACATAATTCTTATAGGAGTATTATTTTGATTTATAGATAGTGTAAGATATCCTAATCGACCTCCAGTTGAATATATGCGTCTTCAATGAATACAATTTGTCAAAATAGCAACGTTATTTTAAATGTCGTCTCACATAAACCGTACACACAGCTGACATACGAATTAATTACGCATAGGTACAAAATAAATACATTATACAATCGAAGAGATAAACAAACAGCACGTGGAATGCTACAATCATTATTAATTAAATTTATTCTAATGTATAATTTATAAGTTGCTAAGTATTGAACGCGACACGTTTACTTTTTAAAGGCTCCAAATTCGGTGAAAAGCACACAAAATCTTCCTCACTATTTTCACAGAATGAAGAAGTCCCTACATAACATGGGTTGTTTGTGCACGGAGAATGTACTATGGTCATAGAATCAAGTGAAGTACCACAGGAGCAATTAACGAGTGTAGTCTATCCTGGAGACAAGCGTGTTATATTACGTCGACCGCAACAAAAACAAAAGAAAGAGATTGTCCTCGATCCCTGATCCAACCTTCTAGGGCTGTCTTAAATAATATTTAGTTTAAATTAGAGCAATTTAACAACACAATGCCCATGACACGCCGTATTATTTTGTACAGAAAAAACCATTGTTACTGGAATTCAAACTATTAGGTACGTATATTTTCCAAGCAGCCTTGTAAAATATAATATTAGGCATAGAAATGGAAAATTTTATACATATTATTATTATACACATAATATAGTTTGAAGTTTATTTAATATAAGTAACAAAGAGTTATGTAACGTGTTTTGTGTTTTAACATAATCTACGGCGAAGGTATAAAAACTTCCCGACCTTAAATAGTGCAGTTATACAGATTCGAACTTACGCAATACAATGGCCTTAGGGGCCATCCATAAAGTACGTCACACTAATTTCATGAGTTTTTGAGTCCTCCCCCGTCCTTGTCACAGGTGGTCACATTTCTGAGACCCCCCCTCCCTAGTGTGACGTCACATGTTTTGCAATTTAACATCGAAAAATTATTAAATTAAAACAGCAGTTCCGAAATTAGTTTTATTTCCATTTAAAATAAGTACTTTTTTAAGAAATCAACATAGTATCAAATATTTGAAATAATAAATAAACTAATGAATATATATATATATATATATATATATATCTATATATATAAGTATATGTGATGACGCGCTCAGTTTGAAAGATTTTAATTAATATTTCAAATTACGCGATTAGTAGCTCTAGATTTTGAAATGTGATGTCACGAAACTTAGGACCCCTCCCACCCCTTGTCACAGCATGTCACACTTTGTCGACCCCCTCCCCCCCCCTTTTACGTGTGACGTACTTTATGGATGGCCCCTTAAGACACCATTTACGTACTTTTATTTATTCGTACTTCTGAGGTAATTATTTTTCGATTTTTTTTTATGGCGACATAACGAGACTTGATCTGTAATTATGAGCTCATCGCCAGCCCTGGTTTCTCTCAACCCGTTGCGCGGGAGGGAGAGCCGAGGGGAGGGGGAAGGAAGCCGCAGGACATCCGACACGTACAGGAAGCAGAACCAGTTCCAGAGCCTTTGTCCAACCTCCCGCTCCCGCCCGACCGCATTCCGATACAACCTCTGCGCCCGCCACCGCTGCTTCCATACAAAAAAAAAAACAACCACTAATAACATATAATATTCCCCCAGGCTATCGCTGAACGTCCTAGAATCTGGATTCTTTATTCAATAGTCTTCACAAAACAGAAAGTCAAAACGCCAAGTCTCTTAGGCTTTAAATGTTCCTCTTAATCTATGATTCATTGAAACACAAGAAGGTCGCAGCGACAAAGAAATATAAATAAAGACAATATAATAATGTAATTATCATCAGGTTATGGTGCGCCCAATTGTACTATGACGATGATTTAAAAACAATTCACGCAAACAATACCTACATGTTAACACATTCGGAAGTAGCTGCCTTATCGGTATTCAATGGAGAGTAAATATTATGATTAGACCTGTGTTTGGTCTCGTATAACCATGAGCGCTATTTTTCGATATATTTAACATTTAAAACACAAATGACCGTCTGAGTCATATATCATGACTGGCTCATTTAGTGCCCGCGGTTCTAACCAGTAATCAAGGAGTTGCCAGTTTCCTTCCCGTAACGTTTCTGAATAATAATCCGCTCTGCTACAGACAGCAATGCACATTTATTTGTCTTATTGTATATATACACCATCCGCAAACATACCCACTCAATAAATATCTTAGCATTTACGCGTCATTATAAACAAAACCCAGACTTAATAACGAATATCTAAATTCTGTTTGAGTCAAATTTGTTCTTAAAATAATCCACGACGTTGTCATCGTATGATTAACTCGTGTGTCTGCAAGAAGCGGAAAAACGTTGCTGACCGAAATAGATGCTGGATATTTCCGACACAAATCCCGCGCCGTGGAAATGATATCTAAAGACGGACGGCGCGCGCGCAACTTCCGGAACGCTATAAACATGGCGGCGGCGAGCCAACATGGCGAAGTTTCCGGCCGCTCTGAATCACGACGATCGACTCTGGCTTGCTCATAACATTTCTGTTTTGTGATTCAGCTTTTACGCAACACGTAGGTGGTTTGAGCGTTATGGAATCTTTAGTCTGGCAGACTCTCAAGGTTCAGCTGTTGACTTGTCGATATCACATCACACACAGTCTGCACGGGTCCGTACACATACGACATCTCTATATATAATACAGATTTGTTTCATTGTGAAAGATCAAAAGCTTATAATAACATACATATAAGATATCAATCCAATGTTTAAACTGACAAAGTTACCTATAACGTTAAAATAAGATTCAAATTTCCAGTGACACTGAAACAAAAACAAGAACGAAGAAGTTAAAAACAAAGATATAGACTGTCTAACTCTTACTATGTACCCATCAATAAAATATTCTTCAACATATGTAATGACGTGACCAATATTATTATTAATAGTTAAGAAGAAGATAAATAATATGCCAATAGTAATTGTTTTACTCACCATTACAATATATAGTTGATAATTTAATAGTAAGTTGACAATAGACCAATAAATTATATTTAACAACTGTATAAACGACAGTCATTTAAATGTGACCTTCTCATTTGTCACGATGAATAAATACATTATAATAGACAATATTCAAAATAAGAGGTTTTTTTATTAGAACATTCTCCGAATTTCTTTTTTATATCAGAAGGGTTTGGATTAATAAAAATATACCTAAGATTTGCGAGTAGAACCGGATCTCGGTATGAATTGCTACTTGAAGTGCAGTGACCAACGTACCAGATAAACAACTTTAACAAGGACAATGAAAAGTAACATCTGCTCTTCGTTATATATCTTATTTTTTATAATATAATAATATTCCAACTTAATAATTACGATATTCTTAATGAAGTTCATATTAAACTGTAGAATCAAAAATTTATCGACACCAAAAATCTATTTGAGTTTTCCACAATAGAATTGATAAAGAAATGTGGTACATAACAAATATGTCAAGTATTATATAAGTAAAATAAAAAATGTGCTATAATTCAAATGTAGAATATGTTAATGTTGTATCGTCGTAGATAAATAACCTTAGCAAAATGCAGTGGCAAGGCTAGTGAGACCGTGGCAGTGAACTTGCTTTCTTCCACTCGCCTCGACACAAGAGTTTCATTGAACAAACATTTAGCGAGTTTTTGACACTGACACTAATATATTACACACACACACACACACACTTTAACACTATTATTTAAATATATTTCAAAAACATACTCAGTATAGATGCATTCGAAATAGAAAATCATTTTGAAAATCGATGCTATAGTGTCATTAATTTGATCGAAATATCGTAATCGATCACATATCTATTCGATGGTCATTAAAGAAACATACTTAACGAGAGCTATAAAAACGAAATCCTCATTCCATAGATAGAGTGATTCTACGAACGCCATTAAATAGAGTCGGCATATACGTTTAATGTATTCCACTTCCGCGTACATCATCCCGCTGTGCGACCTGGCCTCGGTCTCCCGTTACACCCGTTACGTGATGCTGACCCGGATCCCAGAGAAAAACACGCTAACTGTCGCACACCGCACACTCATATACAGGGTGCTCTACACTACGTACAACATAGATTCACTATATAATAAACTTATGAATAAAAGTTAATAAACATTATCGCATATCATATTACGCGTAACTGCGTGTAATTTAGTAATTCTTAAATAATAAGTTACATATTATCCTAGTACAGTTATATTTGGTTTATCTTGAACACCTGTATAGTTGACGCTCAATTAAAAGTACAAGTAGAGTGCAAGTAGCCCGCTAAGGCTTGACACATACCGAGACGACACGGCTGTTAAACTCGTACCAGAGTCCATCTAACACACATAGTTATATCAATTAAGAAAGCATTTTCAATAAAATATTTTGTTTTAACGAGATAAAGAAACGTTATCACGGCGCTAACTAATAACCAGCTTTGGAATTATATCTCTCACGTGTTCATATTGATTATAAGATACACAATATCTTTTGAAGGTCTTGAGGAGACTTGATATTGATCTGTAAGTCTTCGTACTTTCAAATAGCAATCTAAGTTGATACATTCTTACAAAAAACGGTACTGTTGAAGTAACAAATAAGTTTCTTCATTTCGTTGTATACAATACTTTTATAGCGTAAACAATACAAATATATTATCAAAGTTTTTATGGAAGAAGCCATCAGTTAACAAATTTTTATTACATTAAAATCATTAAAAATCGATATATTTTCACGTGTATCACGTGCTAGCGATAATAATATAGAATATCGGTACTGCCTTACTGGAAATATTTGTACTTAGAATGGTTACGTCACACTTACGATGAGGATTATAGAGATTTATCAAGAATTATAACTCATTATATACACGTTCCTAAACACAAATAATGATAATAATATATACATATAGATAACAGATACGTATCACTTCAGGTTAGATAAGGCCAAAAACTTTTATCACTTGCCAACAGCGATTAATGCTTAACATTTGACGTAGGAAGTTCATAAGACATTACGATGTCTGGGAATAACGGTAATAATTATAAAACGAACTATATTTGAAAAAAGATATTATTATTTTCTTATAAAACACATTAATAGGTTCATTACGTGTCGCGCCAGGAAGTGTGCCCACGCGCGTGCTTCTTGTTTCTCTGTAGTCTTTTTGGCAGACTGACGCTATGTCTCGCGTAAAATCTATTTATTATGACAATTCGGTTCGCATTCTTTGAATTCTTAGACTGTTGACTTCCAAATGTTTGTCTGTTTATCGCTATATCTAATCATATAATTGGAAAATTTATGTTCAATATTATAAGCGAAACTCAACAAATATATCGCAGGCAAAGGTCGAAGATGAGAGGAAAGAATGTAAATGCTATATTAAACGTTTAAAACCAAAAAAGTCTCGGCGATACGTGGATATTGTTGAGTCTTACCTATTTCGCTTTATTCGTTTTTTTATAAAATTAACGATGTCCAGAAAAACCAGTAAGCTTAACATGGCCGAGCGATGCGGTCAACAAAAACTATGCATATATTTGAATTTATTTTCGCAAGCAGGAAATACCACAACGTCGCATAGTACGAACAATTATGCGAACAAAAAAAAGAAAAGATGACAGTAATATCTATATATATACTTACTAGAGTTATTTCATCATTTAAGATTCTTCCATGATCAACTAAGAAAATATATTAAAATAATATGCAAATATTATATATGTACTTATTAATTAAAATACCCCTTATGAGCCACTGGCCAGGCAATGAAAAAGGCGAGTCATTCACAAATATGAAGTCCATAAAAGCAGACAATTGTCAGGAGTCAATCTTGTCAGACAGCATGGAGCTGTGACAAAGACTCAGGTCAGTCGGGGAAATTATTAATCGCTCTCTCAGTTACAACAAAGAAACGGAAACATATAACTTCTAGAGGCGACCCCCGCGGAGAGCTTTACCTGACTCTTGGCCCTGTATTGTGTCACGATTCAATAGGAGCTATTTACTTTTGGGACACTGTGGGAAATTGCGCAACGACGGTTACACGTTACATCCAAAGACCATAACCTTATTATAATGACGTGATCTGAACCCAAAAAAGTAAAGCCCTTAAACCCTTTCCCAACATCACAATGCTCGTAATCCTGGATGGGAAAACAGTTATTCACGGGCACCGAACATCACTGATGACAAAAGACTAGTAATAATCAAAACATTACCCAAACTCAGAAGTTCGAAGTTTCATATTTCATACAGAGTCAAATACGTGAGTTTTCTATGCTACGAGTAATTATAAAATCTTGAGCGAGCACCTGATTGAAGTGGACGTCCGGATTCCTCGAAGTGCGATGTCCACTCGGCGCTCTATATCTCACGGAACGGTGTCAAACGAATCTGAACACTTCCCAGAAGGGACGGCGCGCGGCGGCGCTTTGGACCCAGGCCTTTTTTTGTTAAACATAATAAATGATGCACTCGAAAAAAACTATCCAACCTGCCCGGGAGATAACCATCGGGAATGATTTTTATGGAAATGTTCTCCGCTATTATAACGATCACGAATCCTTTGGGATGT